ATTTCGTACATGAAAAATTCAACTGCTGGTTCGAGACATCCCATGAGAGGTCTGAATTTAATTGGAACCGATCACGGGCGCGCGCGCTCACACACACCATTTAAATCACCTATCAAAAAAGGAAACCGATAAGTGAAACAAGTTATTACAGAAACTGGAATCGTTTGAATGCCCCAAGTAATTTGCTATTGAATGATTTTACTGACAGAACGAGCCACTAGACAGGGGAAAGCTTCATCCAAACCCTTAGTCAACAACTTCGGTGTTCTTCAACGAGCTGTGTTAACCCCACACTTATTTTCCACTTATATTCGTGATATTCCTTGTGTTACTCCTGCACGTATTCTGAAATATGCGGATGACGTCATGCTGTGTTAACCCATTTCTTCTTACTCCGATCTAAGCTCCTTCACCGACACTACTGGTCGAATTCAGTCATTCTCCTCTTTATTGGGGCTAACCTTAGACCCCGGTAAACGTGTCGAATGTTCATATAGTTTTGGACGCTCTCTAAACCAAACAGACGCTACAGTAATAAATAACAAACCTTTATTCAGGGTGAACTCTATCAAATATCTTGGTATAACTGTGGATAGCAACCTTCTTTGGTGAATCCACATCCACAACTGCATTAGTAAACTGCAGCGCTGATCATTTCAATTTCGAAAGCTCAGACAGTTTCACGCGTTCCATTCAGTTATTTCCACCATTGTATATCACTGTGTTTTGCCCCATTTCACTCTATTGTTCCCCAGTTTACTCTGCGATCTAACTGCTAGTAGCAGCGTTTCTTCTGTTCACTTGAACGAGTTAACTTCGAAGCTTCCACAGTGTCATATAACTTCCTGACCGTCCATTGTACGTTCCCATTGTCGTTCCCATCCCTTCACACGCTCTCAATTCGGCCTAATGTTATGTCGTATAAACGCTTACCGAAATTCGCCTATGCCCTCCCTACCTTGCATGTTTGCTTACAAACAGAAAGAGAGTAACAAGTGAACTTGATCGGAACCTTGGTCGATGAAATGTGAACACTTTATCCCATTAATTCTGTTCTCTGTGAGCGTTAGTGTGTATAGTAGCGTTTTAGCTGAAATTTAAGCCGCACTGCTTGCAGACGTCCTACACAATACAATACAAAGTCAGTAAAAATACTACGAAGAGGGGGGTGGGGTGGGGTGTAGAACCAACTTACGACCGGCAAGACTCGAGCGTGATCAGCAGATCCACTTCACCCTTCAGGCCGATACCCAGACAGCTGTTATAGCAATGTATGGAACAGAGTATGGTTTTTCGAACAGCGGGCAAGAGAACAGACTGAGAGCCTTGATCTTGGCTAAGATCCTTCTCGGAATTATCCGTTCGTTGTTGCGTAAAAAGTTCCATAGGATCCACGCGGAAACAAACGGAAATTTGCTCTTTTGGGCAAGAACTGAGTGGTCCATTGCGGGTGTAATGTGCAACCTCGCCCAAGACCTCCACAAATGAAAGACTTTGCAAGCTGGATTCAGTTGGTTTTTGATGTTTTCGGCATCTAAATAACCAATCACAGCGACAACAACAATAAATTGCGTGATGACAGGTCACCTCTCTACAATATCACCAATTCGTTCCCCATCCGCGAAGACTGGCGTGATTCGCAACCACCAATCAAGCGGGGTCACTGAAGGCCGGAATGAGACAGTGATCGGCCAGGCTCGGGTGCGTGGGACAAACACTTGCGCAGTATCCACACACGAAAGTGATTCAATCACCTTGCGATTAACAAACAAGAATGACATAACCTACTTGATAGTTGGTTGTGGTCAATTGTGACTCGGTTTGACCAGGTTTCGGCACTTTCAGGCGAAATTCATGATAACCGCGGCAAGGTTTGCTGAAAAGTATGACAATCAGGGGTACGTTACATTCTTACGCACATAACTTTTGCAGACAACCCCCTATGGGTGTTTAGTAATGGTGCCTGGGACAAGAACTGGTGAAACGCAATCGGCCTGGGTTAGATCACACGAAACAGATTACCTCCATTTTCCCAACAAACTGGGTGAGAATTAACTGGGCATCTTCCTCGGCTTGAGTGTTTACAGGCTAAGATGTGTATTCGGGACAGATGATTCGAGGGAAACGTACCGGGAAAAATGCCATCGCACTTTGTTTTTAAATCACAGCCTGTAAAAAGAAATGAAAACAAAAAAATAAAAAGTTTGCAAACGGAATGCACTGAAATTATCCCCATCGGATATATATATCATTATTTGCATGAGGGTGAGAGGGAGGGGGAGAATTTTCCAAGGGAATTTTCAACCGGAGCTTTTGGCTAACCAAAGCCTGCTCGCAATTCAGTGTGGCGCTGTTTTTTATTACACAATGTGAGAGAAATAGCATACTGCAAAAGGGAGAGTAGGGGAATATTCATGTAGGATCCAGTCTATTGATTCTACGTTTAAAGAGTGTAAGGTTGTAAGTTGGATGAGCGATAGAAAGTAGGTTCCACAACTTGGCAGTTCGGGAAAAAAAGAAGTTTGGAGCAGAGCAGTACATCTGGGAACTGAAATCTGATAAGGATGACTAGATGCGTGTAGGGGACGAACGGATAAAAGTTGCACGAAGAGGAACTGCCGAGGCAAGTTTCGAAGGACAAAAACCGAAGAACAGTAGAGTAGGGACAATGAACCAACTCCCGACGATGGGCTAGTGACTGCAGACTGGATATTGAGGAATGACCATCGATTTGCCGGGTGGCCTTTCGTTGAACACGATCAATTAATAAAAGAGAAGAAGACGAAGTCCCACTCCACACGTGATTACAGTATTTAAGATCAGGGCGGGTTTTCGCAGTTGAAGATGAGTTGGGGTGAAAAAACGCCTGACGCGAAATAAAAAGTCAACCTTGCGAGTGGCACGAGATCCGAGCTATGATTAGGGATCAGTATTACAAAGAAGTTATAGGCAATCCAAGAAGGGAGACGGATTCTGTGAAACGCAGTTGAGTGGGAGCAAAAGATAAATGGGAAGGGGAGAACGAATGATGTTTTAAAGAAATTGAAAGAAGAGAGGATTTAGAACTATTGAATGAAACGTGCGAAAACCGCAATCGATTGGGGGCCGGTGTCAAGTTCATCGGATAACACACCATCTCAAGGTGGGCAAAAGTCCAATGTGCCCATTGCATCCCGATATCCGATGGAGCCAGTTCTCACTGCCACAGCAGAGGTGTGGGCGGGTGTGGTTCGTACACCTATTCTTGGTTGGTTTGGAATCAGGGCTCTTAACCAATTCCTTTAGGTGAACTGCTGATGGTTAACTGACCAGTTTATAATCCCAGATGTTCGTTTTTCGTCTTCTCGATTTGTTGGGGAAAACACCGCTGAGAGAAGAGGCGTACGAACCACACGCACGCTTTCCTAGTTGTAGCAGTGGACACCGGCTTGATTGAGCAACGTGTATTGGGTACCTTGGACGTTTGACACCGTCCAAAGGGCGTATGATCCAATGGCCTGGACACCCTCGGGTCAAGCAGAGCTGAATGCTATCAGACGCGTTTCCGGGTTATGGATAGGGGGATACCTTCCCGGAAGAAGGTTGGCTGTGAATAGGTTGTGGCATACCGCAACAAAGACGCAGTCGCAAACAAACAGCGGCGGCACTACCAGGGTGTGGTGGGTTTCAGGCTGGTCAACTGGCTCCTGATTAAAAGCCTCGTAAGCCCAATGACGGTGTCATGACTGGCCTTTTAAAACTAAAGTCACTAACCCCCGAACTTCCGAGCCGAGGGTTTACTTCCTGCTTCCTCGCAGTTCGCACTTGGTTGTGCAAAGGTTAGAGGTGTGCCCTCAAAATAAAAGAAACGCCGTGACACTGGGGACATCTCTCGTACCAAACTCCCAAGGAACTTCATGATCATGATCATGTCTGGAGCCGGCTAATCCTTTCCAAGGAGCCAACCACAGTAAATAAAAAATGAACTAGACATCGGCCCCCAGTGGACTGGGGACTCTGATCTTCGTCCTGTTGTTCTTGCAGGTTTAGCTTTCTAGCCAAGGGCTTCGGGTGGGGACCCCGAGGTTATCCACCTTCCTCGGTCAGGGCAACCGGGAAGTAAAATGCCCACGCAACCTGTGAACAGATTCTACATTTTTCCTTGTGGTACATTGGTTACGTGTTGGTATAAAAAAATTAAGAGGACGTTTGTAAATTCACAAAACAGTTAATACGATGGGACTGCACCTTGACGTGGCGCGATGGCTTGTGCACTTCTCAGACCCGACGAGCTACACAGAATGGCTTTTGTCAAGCTGGAGAGCTAATCACGCCTGGAAGGTAGGAGGATAGAGGTCAGACAAAGTTCAGTCTCCTGGCCATCCAAGTGGATGGTTCGGCTAGAATTTGCGTTTCAATCGGTGAAAAATGCTGGAGGAGTAATCAATCAAAGTAAATGGGCCTCCAATTCGCTTCACCCGCTGCCTTGTGATTAAGTTCGTGTTAGAACTAAAGGCTTTGGGTGAGAACTCTAATCGTTCCCCTGCTTTGTTGCTGGACACCCTAGCAGTACCCAGCCATCAAACCACAATGAATACACAAACCAAACATCATTATACACTGCATCGATCGTCGCGCAGAATAACCAGGACGGTTATTCCCGTTGAATCGAGCGGAATGGACAGTGATAAGTAGAATATTGCTCAGATATTTCAACCGTTGTAAAAAAAAACCTTTCCGTTTTATCCATTTCATTAACATGACCATATGAACTTGCGCTTAAAGTTGAANCGCGAAATTAATGGCCAATATAAATCCCAACTTTTGTTTAATACTTCGTCTTCCATACCCAACCCTCTCCCTCCTTCCGACCGGCAACATTCCCCCGGACAACTTTTTTGTCACTTGCCAAAATTCACTGCCAAGTAGCGCGGTAAGCAGTTTAACACAAATTCAACTGCAGATTATGAACTCTCGTCAATCACTAAATCTGAGGGCCTTCAAAGTGAGGACGCCGATGCAGATAGACCAACACGCCTGTCTCGCGCGTACAATCGACTCTTTAGGGATTGATGTCTGCTGCGCATCCGAGACGTGAATCCAGGATCCTAGTACTATAAGTCACTTGAATGCACCGGATTCGTCCTTGAAGTACGTCAT